AAAATTTTATTATGAGATTTGCTATGTTTTGCAAACAAATCTGTATTATTTGCGTGCTGACTAGTTGACTATGTGCAGGGCAATAATTTTGACAAAATCATGCAATCAGTCCGCCGAAAAGAGGATTATACTGCGCAACTTATATTACTAAGGATTTTGGTCCCATGCTGTGTCATTATATTGCAGGACATGCAAATCGCCTAGAGCCGTCTATAAAGGACCCATATTATATTTACTTACTATTATTACAAGCGGACGGCTACGAAATTGTTAGGTCAACATTTGCGGACAGATTTTTGAGAGGAGGAAGCTTAGGTCGATGTCGAATGAAACAAGAGGAAATGAGAAGATTTACTTAATTTTTTTTTTGTGAAACACTGACTGTTAAAATATTTATTTACACATTAAAAGTAGGTAAATACAAACGATTTTTTATATAACTATTTTTATTTTAATCATATGAAGAAGAATTTATCTTGACTTGATTAGGAATATGAAGCTTAAGTCGATGTCACATAAGACAGTTGAGAGGAAATGGAAGCATTTACAACTAGTTAATATAGTTTTTCATAAACAATATTTTTTATATATCTTTGTTTGAAAGTTTTCTGAACATTCTGGAATACTTAAAAAAATTGATGCACATGTGTGTGTTGGTAAGTGTGTGCGGATACAATTTTTTGCCTACGTTTTTGAGAACACGGATCAACCGATTTGAGTTACTTTCAGTGATGGAATGTATGATTCTATTTCTATTGATTTTTTCTATTTCGATTATATTCGATTTCTATTGATGAGGAGACGTACTGATTAGTTTTTTGGCAAAGGCAGGACAGGTCGTTTCGAAAATACGGTTCAAAAAGTGCTAAAAAATGACAATTCAGTTTTTGAGAGAATAGATGAATTTAAAAGCATGTTACTTTCAGTGATGAATGTATGAATGATTGAATTTATTTGACGGCAGGCCCAGCGGCTTCGGAGATACAGATAAAAAAGTTAAAGAAAAAATGTTATTTGGCGGCCAAAAATTATCATTAGACATATGCGCATCAAATTATTAAATATTTTATAAAGATTTAAATAAAAAGTACAACATTTGTATTCATTTTTATGGGTTCAGTGCCAATATTTATAATGTTTAAAAGAGTTCATCAAATGTTTTCGACATTTTCGATATTATGGCTCAACAATCTTGAACAAGTTTCAAAATTTTCATGAAAGTAACATATTAATAACAAAAATTTCAAAATTTTCAAAACATTCAAATTTTCTAAAAAGTCGATTTTTTCAAATTCCTCGAGCTTTCAAATAAACCATTTAGAAAAAATGAATTACAGTACGAGAAGTTTCAGCAATTTACTTTAAAGTAAATTAAGGTTTAATTAATTTAACCTTAAAGCATTTATCTTAAATGCCATGCAGCACTAGATAATATTTATATCGTTGCTATTGTTATTTCTGTCTCCTCGACAATATTTATTATTATTTTTTCAGAAGTTTGCAATTGCATTTTCGGTTTTTGACTAGTAAATAATCAATACTGACAAGTTGAAAAAAATACTGTATTAACGAGGTTTTTTTTAAGCGGTTTTATGTGCCATCAGCCTTACTATCGATTATACCAGCGGATATTTGATCGGAAAGTATAAAACGCTTTCTAGAGGAAATTGTGGGCTTTTATAGTTTGTTTATATAAAGTGGAAAGGAAATTGGCTGTTTGCTCTTTTTATTTTGTGAGAATTAAATTGAACCAGTTTAAAGCTGTTTTTAAATATTTATGTTATGGAATATTTTATTATTTACAAATTACTACTTTTAATTATATGTAGATACACTAGAATTGTTTAATCATCAATGTTTTTTATTTGTAATACGTCATTAATAATAAAAATATATTATTTGAATCACCTCTTAAGGTGCATCATTAGGTAGGACATTTATTTGCATATTTGATTTTATGTTTGCAAAGGATTAATGATTTGCCATCAATGAACATGTCTTCATGCATTAAATTAGTATTGTCACATTTATAATCTGTATCAGTATTGAATAATGCAGATGTATTGCAGATACCGGATTCTGTTGACATGTACTTTGATAAGTCAATATCAAACTTCAATCATGCGTATTCAGCTATGTGCTCTTGCTAAAGTAAACTCGAATGGAATGTTTAATTAAATAATAAAATACATATTAAATTTATATATTTTTACGAACATTTCTTGATTTTATTTATTAAAAAAAATTATTATAAACTATGATGAACGATAGTGATTACAGATGATTACGGGCAGATTTAAAAATATTTGAGATAATTAAAACAAAAACTGCAAAGGCAAATTGCTGGAACTTTCTGTATCGAAAATTAAAATTCTTAAAAAAAGCTTTTAAAATATTTGAAAACTTAGAAAAAATTAAATTTTTGAGTTTTGAAAATTTTGAAACTTTGAATTTTTTTAATATTTTAAAACGTTTTGAAAGTTTTGAACTTTTGATTAGAGCACTCGTATTGCATGGCATGGTTAGATATGAAATATCAAAGCGCGTAAGCGCCGCGTCGCTCTTTAACGCACGAATATTAGTACGGAACCATAAGAAATGCACACAAAATTTGTGCTCATCTGAAAATTTGATGTGCATATGCCTAATGATTATCTTTGGCTGTCAACTGTTACTTTTTTTTACATTTTTTACTATATTTCCGAAACCGCTGGATCTGGCTACCTAAAAATTAAAATAGTTGTTCACTTGCGATTACTATAACTTACCCTAAGAGAAATTAATTAGAAAACATTATACGTTAAGTCATAAAAGAATTAATACAAATGTTTACTAAACTTAGAAAAAAAAGTTTTTAGGGAACGTTTTTTTTCAGTTTATCAAAAGTTTTCTATAATACATTAAATTAGGTGTTACATTTTCGGTCCCATTGACCAAATGCATTTTGATCTCTTAACCTCTCGAAGATCAATTTAATAGGATAATCCCTTTTTATAATAATAGAATTAGAAATGTCATAAAAATACGTACTCCAGAACACTGATGAATTGAAGCAAAAATTTAATTCAATTACATATACCTGCAAGTTTTAATAAGCAAAGTATTAACCTCACAATTACTATTCATACAATTTACGGTTTTATCTAGTATGAATTCTTAATAGTATTACTTTTTACCTTATGGATTTGTTACTTGATATGCTACAGAGTATCAAAAACATATTTAATTGTAATTGTAATTATAGAAAAGAGTCTTGAAGGATATAAAACAGTTATAATACTGTAAAATTTTTACAAAAAACTGTTTTCTAATTTGCTTCATATAACAATAATCCTTTAACTTTTCTTTTTACATAACCGTATCCTTAACATCAATCGAAAATCATTGTACGTGAATTTAGAAAAGCAGTTGAATTTTAGGTATTATTTTTTAATTTTTGAAAAGAGTAGATTTCGAATTAACCTAAGTATTTCTAAACTTTTCGGGATTTTGAAGACACGTTGTTACTTATAAAATCTATGTGCAACGCAATTACACAACGCAAGTGTGCGCAATTTAATTCGTATTTTACGACACGGTCTTATGCAAATACAGAATTTTGGGATTGCCTATAATAATATAATGCCGACCCTAGCAGGAGCCCAAGAGATTAGTAGTATTTATATTATCCTGCCAGGTATGATCGTTTAAGAATATTATATGACACTGGTTCTGAAACAGCGAGTCACTTCATATGTAAAATTTCAATAAAAATACGTTTTAATTTTCGAACATAATTTTCGTTTAAAATAATTAATGTTATATGTGTTCACCATAAATAGTAATTTTGTATTAATTAGAGGGTTTAGAACTTAAGGGTTTTAGAAGTCAACCCAGTGGTGAACCAATGGTCAACCACTTTGATGAATTTATTATTATAATTTCTATTATACCAATGATTTTTTTAATGATGCGGTAAAGGTATATTTTTACTTAGAAACATATGGTTTTTAGCATTTGCAAATAAAAACCGATGCTTCTACTGCTTGACATAAGGCTGTTCGAGGCGGGTATCGAAACTAAAACTTTTGATTCAAAGCCCTCATAACTCTAACCACGGAAAAAGCACACCGATAGTAGCAATTACGAGATTTTCATTTCATACGAAAATTACTTATTACTATTTATTTCATATAAGTTTTAATAACGCCTGGTTATATATTCATTATTCTAACAATATTTAAATTTATTTCATAGCTAAAAATAAGTTGAAATACATATCGTTAAATATATCCATGATGCAAAAACTAAAATAACGAAAACCTAAATTTACTTCAATTTTTTTAAGATTTATATTTATTTTTGAGAATTTTATTAAATAGTATTCAGAATTACAATTATAATTATGATTATTTAGGTCAGGCCAGGCCAGACATATAAATACTTTCTTCGAAAAATATTATCTACGTATTCAAAATTTCGTAACAGCATTATGCAACCAAACTTTAGAAACCATTGATATTTCAGATTACGAAATTTGTAATGTTTGGGGTTTGTAGTGGTTGTCGAAACACCACGAAAGTGGTGTCTTTTTTCTTGAATCTCATTCCTAGTCAGTTCCTTCGGTAGGACGTTAGTTTCCGAAACGTTTCATAAACGCGTTTGTTAATCGCGAAGTCTAAAAATAAAATAAAAAATAAATAATTAGTGCGACTAAAGATAGTGATAAATACTTAAGCATTTTAAAACAGTTTTCTAAATTTTGTGTGCATAAGTACTAACAGATTCTAAGAAGCGTTTTATTAGTTTTTGAGTTACTTTAAATTTTCTTCGAAATTTATTTCAAGTTGTGATGTTGCAATTGAACTTAAACTGATTTTAAAACTTTTTTTAACTAATCAATGATAAAACCGTGTCCCGAGAAAATCATTTCGTTCATTGAATCGTCCGTGGTTCATTGCACAGACGTTTTCCTCCGCATATCTTCATCTGTTGTCAGTGTTGCTCTGAGCAAAATCGTGATGGAAGTGGCTTACGGTTATCACTGGTTGAACAATAAAAATCGTCAAAATAGTTTACCTCACTCAAACAAGGATCGATGCCAATTGGATGTAAATGCAAGCCATTTATCCAAAAATATGCATCGTTTGGACGGCGATATGTCGCGTATTGACGATGGAATGGACAATTTAAAATTGGATCTTGACGCTTTCGAAGATATGTTAGGTTGTTTTCGATCAGGGGTTGGAGATCTTAGGGAAGAATTGGGTGACCTATGTTTGGAATTGCAAGAATTTTTAGAAAAAGTTGATTGTGAAACTTTGCGGTGTGTTTTGGAAGCAGATTGTGACGATTTCAGTTCAGATGGTTTGACATCCGAGCGATCGTTATCGGACGAGTCAATTTTGGCCCGTTCGATATCTGATACAGATTTTGAATATGAGGTACAGGAGTTTGGATACTTTTGATACATGAGCACTTTGATCATTTTGAAATATTTGTTCGTTGATATGTATAAAATATAAATTACCGTCTTTTGTTTCAATACAAAAATATCAAGTCATGCAAAAAAATCTTTTGGTACGTTTTTATATTGCATCATTCATATAAGATGTAGCTTGCGTTATGAGATATTATTGCATTTAAAAAAAAAAATAATAAATGTTAACTATTTCAGATTTATTTTTAACTATGCTTCATCTACTCGTTGGCATAACTATAATATTTTAGAAAATAGTACTAATTTTACTTGCTAATAGAAATATCTATGTATTTATCTAATGTCTCATGTTTTATTACAGCCCCCAGAGAATGAACTGCAGAAAACATCTTCAGCTTCGATGTCCGAACATCAGCTTCGCGTGCAGCGCTCGTTGCAGCGACTGGATCTCCCAGACTGGTACAGGCAGAGTCAGGTGCCTCGCGAAGGATTCCTGCTGAGAAAACGATCATCGCCTGATTGCGACACAAGACCATCAGCCAATCGCTGGACTGGGTTGAACTCAAAAACAACATCTTTAAATTCCTTAGGCAGTGGTTGCAGGACCAGGGACGGAACCAATATAATACAAGGACCGAATGCAAATTGCACTGGTTCAAGTGTTAATTCTGGAGGTTACTTGTTGTCACCATCGACGAACCGAGACTTCTGCAGGTAAAATTAAATAAAATATCCCATGTCATATTTCTATGTTAATTCTTACAAAATTTGGTGTAAATGAATAAGAGATTAATGGTTAAAATTGACAAATTAGCGGGTTAAATGCAATTTTTTTTAAAGTAAACGTTTAACAAACATCAATGCAATGCTATTTTTTATAATCCATACATTATTACATTATTTATATTGTTTTTTATAATTTTTAACTTCCCGAAGGAGAAGTTTATGTTTTCATCAAAAAATCCGATTTGCTAATTTTGTTTTCTCGACGTTTCAAGCCATTCTGAATCGAATGAGACTAAATTTGGAAAAAGTATGTGTGTGTGAACAGATTTTTTTGCCGTAAATCGACGTTTTCTCAAAAATGGCTGGACCAATTTCAAAAATTTAAAAGCCATTCGATGTATCTCGATGAGGACTAGCGTTGATCAATTTTGCGACGACGATCAGCCAAGCCGTTTCTTTGTAAATAGAAGAAAAGTGAAAATTTTTTTGTCCACGTTTTAGCCCGCAGTTCTGAATCGATCTTGAAAATTCAAAAACCGTTCAAAAGATATTCATTGGGAATCGTGCTGATGAGTTGTTGGAAGTGATCGGCCGGGCCGTTTTCTTGTAATAAAGTGTTAAAAAATGTTTTTTTCGACGATTTTTATTATTATTTTTTTAACGGTAGATACCATAGTCTTCTAGATCATACGAAAATATTACGGCTCCACGACAATTGGTCTAACTTTGAAATTTCGTCAAAGTTTGCAAAAATTAGTATCGTTTTTTTGGCATTTGACAAAATCAAACCTTTGATCGGCGTTTTCTCAAAAACGCCTGAACTGGTTTCATAAATTTAAAAGCCATTTGATGTATCTCAATGAGGACTATACTTTGTCAGTTTGTGAGACGATCTGCCAAGTCGTTTCTTTGTAATTTGAAAAAAAGTGTTAAACTTTTCATCCACATTTAAGCTCAAACTACCGAATCGATTTTAAAAAATCAAAAACTGTTCGAAAGATATTAGTTGAGAATGATACTGATTAGTTTAAGGTGAAAATCTACCGAGCCGTTTTCTTGTAATTAACTGTTGAAAAAAAAATTCATACGGATTTTTATGGAACTTCTTTTGGTGATATATATCATTGTCTTATAAAACTTACTGAAATATCACGGCCTTATGATTTACTTTTAAAAATTAATCAAAGTTTGAGAAAATGAGTAGTTTTTTGACGTTTGTTAAAATCAAAATTAGACGATTTACTTGGTATAACGATAGAGTACTTGATCTTAATGAACATACTAAACCATTAAAGTGCTATGAAAACTGGTTCAATTATAAAAATTATTGATTTGTGAAAATTTGCTTTCAGAAAATTCGAGTCAACGTGTTCGTTCGTTTTCAATTATGTGTAATAAATCCACTCGGAATACTTCTAATCAATCATAAATGAATTTATTTTTTATTGATTAAGTCGATTATTTACACATATCGGGAAGTTCGTGTAACTTGCCTCAAGGCAAAATACCAATGCCAACTAGTTTTTTGTAATAAACGTATAACAAATATCAATGTAATGCTATTTTTTATAATCCATACATTATTCATATTGTTTTTTATAATTTTTAATTTTTTTATTTAGGTGGTCTACCTCCAAATTAAATTCTTCACAAACTTCTCCATCGAGCAGCGTTCGGAGCAGTTTTAGCAGTAGAACCACAGGTCCAGTGATAACCAGCGCAGGCAGCAACTCGCTAAGAAGTAGTTTTAGACAACCCTATATGGGCTGGAGAAGCCAAGAAAAATTGTCCAGGCCTAGAACACCAGCCGAAAGGTTAATAATAACTTATTGGAATACGAGATTATAATTATTATTTATTAACTTCCCTTAGGGTAAGTTATTGTAATGGGCCGAAAATCGAAATTGAAAATTTTTACATTTCGATGTTTTGAAGGTTTTTGAACATTTTGGCATACCTCAGAAAAAATGGATGTGTGTGTTGTGTGTATGAATGTATGGATACAAATTTCCAGTCACGTTTTCGGGCGCACGGATTAACCGATTTGAATAGTTCAAAAAACATTCGATTCCTATTGATAGGGAGATGTGCTGATTAGTTTTTGGCAAAGGCAGGTCCAGCCGTTACGAAGATGCGGAGCAAAGAGTGCAGAAAATAGAAATCGAGTTTTTGAGTGAACGGAGCATCCGATTTGAATGATCTAAAAAACATTCAATTAGTAATGATTAGGAGAAGTGACTTAGGTTTTGGCAATGGCAGGCCCAGCGGTTTCGAAGATATAGAGCTAAATGTGCAAAAATGGCAGTTTTTGAGAGAACTAAGCGTAATTCAAAGAACTTTCAGCTTGTTTCAACAAAATAATTGATTTTGGAAAAAAATTGTATCATTTTTTTTTTTTAGTTTTTTTATACATGGAAAATAATTCATATTTTATTTTTAATTCTGACTAAAGTTCTAATATACTTTAAACAAATGATTTTAACTTTGCAATTCGGTTTACATAATTCTTATAAATATTAGACAATGTTACAATATTTATAATAATCTATTTAAAAACATTCAGTATTCCTCGAACATTTCGTTACGGTACGGGAAGTTCCAGCAATTTGCCTTAAGGCACGATGCCATATACCCCACTGGTTATTTATTAGTATTATGAAATGTTATATATCATACATAAATAATATTAAATTTTGGCATATTATTTGATGTTTTTTTCATACTCTAGGTTGGCTATATCGATGCCCCAACAACAGCAACAAAAACAACTACAAAATCAGAAACACCAGCAGAACAACAATAACAACATTATTTTAGATGCTCAAACACCTGAAATTCAATCATCAATTAAAGAAGTGACATCTGCAATTGTCCACTACGTTTCGGACGCGCATTCTCGTCTTCAGCAGGGGGCAAACGATGCCTCTAAGCTGCCTCCACCGAGTGGAAGATCTCGATCGGCGAGTCCAAGTCAAAGGTTTTGTTGGTTGGAATCTTCCTTTGTAGGAACTAGACCGTTGGATTCTCCCCAAACGCCAACTTTGGCAAAAACTTTCGAAGATTCGAACGATTCGAGACGGGACTCCGGCTTAAAGTTAGAATTGAGGCGGCCAGAAAGATTGAATAACGGTAAGCTGTAAAAATTTCTAATTTAATAACAGCTTTAGTTGATAAAGGTTAATTTAATATAGATTGCAAAATGTGTGTATGAATGACATGAGTACTTAAGAAGGACTCGCGTGAATTATAACAAATTTTAATGCAAATAGACCTGTAAACATTAAATATTTAATATATATTTTGTTCAGTTATAAACTGTTTGATATAAATCGATAGCAATATTAATCATTATTAGACAAAATAAAAAAATCATTAACGCTTGTTCGAATATTAAATTTCTTATATTTGAGGCTTTGATATCTAACCGAAAATTAACTACAAAATATTCAATACCATAATATAACTGATCATCATTATTTTTATTGTCATTAACATTTTTAACGCAACTAAAAAAGGCGCATTCTAGATCTAGCAACAACTGACAAATAATTATTTCAAGTTTTTTTAAAAATATAATGGATAAAACTATGGTTGATTTTTTAAGATTGAATGATATATATATATATATATATATATATATATAATATGTGTGATCCAAATTAACGCAGCATATTATTTAAAACCACGAAAATGTGTATATAATATATTATTTTAAGTTGTAATTAAACCCTTGCCTTTAAATTATTTGTTTTATGATTTATTTAAAAAAAATTTAATGTTTGTTTAATGTACGTGAATTTTGTTTCACTAGCATCATTATTTTCATATCTATGTTTTTCATAATTTTGGTTTGTAATTTCTGGATTCACTTTTTTATATCCATTTTCAGAGTATTGATTATAAAATGCGTTTATATGATATAAATATATTTGTTTGAGAACAATGTTTTAAATGCCTGCCAGTATAGATGTCCCTTTAATTTTGGATATTTTGTTCACAACATATTCTTTATGTTGATAAATTGCTTATATTTTGCACTAAATGAGAAATGTATAAATTTATACATTAATAATTTAAAAAATACGTGAGTTATAGTACAAATGGATTGGTAGCTATACTTTATAATTTTATATGTTACGACTGATTAAATTGACTGAAAAGGTTTGCATCTCAGGCATTAATAACAACGTTCTGGGTTGAAAAACTTTATATATTTATATTAATGTGTTTATAAAAAATACGATATATATATATACATACATATTTGTACGTATTGTTAATCTTCTTGTTAACATTATTATAAGTATTATTTAATAGCCTACATGTGACTTATTTAAATCTATGATTAGTGGAGTTAATTATGGCGTTTCAGAATTATTATTTTAAGCCAAGCTTCTTTAATATAATTATTCCTTTAACAGTTTCTCAAATTGTTTGGTCATTTAAAGAAAAATGAATATCTTTTGGTATAAATTATTTATTTTTTGGCTTAGATTTTTACTTACTTTTTTTAAAAATTATGTTAGCTTTTCAAATATTGTAGATTGACCATTAGATAATATCATTTTCACAGAGTGTATCATTGTATTTATTTCACCATTCTAAATTTTTGCATTTATTGTTTTTATATAACTCGAATAATTATATAGTTACATTTAGTAATATACTTATTATATATTGCGTCAGCTTAAGTTAATTTTTATTTAGGATAAAATCACCTCTTGATTTATATTTTAATAAATTAAAAAGGTTTTGATAAATTGTACATTTTTCATAATTTGGTGCAAGCAAATAAAATTTATATGAAAAACAATATAACATAATCCCGTAATATATTTTAGTTCTACGTTTTTTATGAGATTTAATTTTTTAATATGTATTTGCATTTTTCTTTGGTATATTTCATAATAGATTTTATTTGTTTCATTAATTTTTATTTGCCTTATATATTATAGTTATTGTATTATTTCACATTTAGGATGTGTATATTTAGCCTTTGTATTTATTGTTTAGATATTATTTGTATTTGTTCATATCATATTATCAACGTTTCATATTATAATAAAATATAATTTTCTTAATTTTGTGTTTTCAATCCCTATATATATTATATATATATATATATATATATATATATATATATATATATATCATTCCCATCTTTCTTCATTCATAACTGTAAAGGTGTTCTTAAAATTGTTTTTATGTTTGAAGGGTTTTTTTCATAAAAAAATAATAGCTTTGCTTTCAAATATATATTATAATACTAATATCGTATACTGAGAAGGTAAGTGTGATATATAAATATAAGCTGATTTTTTATGGTACATATATATAAATATAAATTATAATCACGGAGACATGATATAATAAGCTAAATTATTTTTGAACTACAATAAAATATTTTTTTATATAATTTTGCTTAATATTTAGTTTTTTCAAATACTTCATTGAAAGTATATATATATATTTTTTTTTTCAGTATTATTAATTAAATTCGGTGATAATTTTTACAATTAGTAAATTTACTTTTTAGTATTGATTTTTGGTAACTGATTCGTATTGATTTTTCTACTATATGAATATAATTATTTGAATTAAATGATTTTACACAATTAAATTTGTCGTATGTACCATTTCTACAAAACAATAATTTAATTTATTTTACAATTTGCGATTCTAATATATGAGAACTATTCTAATATAATTTTAATGTATAAACTACTTTTCCGGATGCTTAATTAAGATCATGGTCAAATACATAATATAACTTTCATTCAATTTAAACTTAATAAAATTATCTATAAATTCTATAACATTTAATATAATTTATTATGAATTGTCTAATACATCTCTTGTAATTAATTATTTAAATAACGATTTTTCCTAATAATTTGTATGAAAGTTCCTAATATTTAATATAATTTATTATAAGATAAATTAAATCGGTTTTCATTATTGTCGCTAACACATGAATTATACCCACACTCAACGTAGACATAGTTTAATTTAGTTTAAACCTAATATTTCGAGTGTGTGTGTGTGTAAAAGTAAACTTTTATTTGGTCGTTTTAGTGCACGTTTCTGAGTATTCGCCAGCCGGATCGTTGGAACCGTCGACTACGCCGGGCTCAGCCAGCCTGGAGGATGTCCTGGCTTCGCTCCTGGGACTGCGGCCTTCTTCTGCTGCGTCGTCCTCGCACCATGCGCCCGGGCTGTTGCCGGCAGGTACGCCCGACGTGTAAGTGCAACCCAAAATCCATGTCAAATTATGTTGAACGTTACTCCCGCAGTGCTCGGAATGTGAGACTTGAGAATGAAAGTTTGTTATTGTTTTATTGGGGATAAGCATAGTATTAGAAGGTATTTTTTAGTATTTATACATATATATTATATTATAATTGCAAATAGGGAATGACAATACCGGTATTTTCGATTTATAAGCGACATACAAAACTACTATAAATTAAATTCTATAACAAATTTACTTTAATCCAACCAATCGCATAAACAGCTATATCTTCAAGTGATTCTATAATGTCAAATATTATCTCAACCTGTCATAAACTGAATATTATTGCTTTACTAACGGCTTCATATCGTGTTACAATAATAGATTTGGACGATGAATTACGATGTTGTTTCATCTTTTGTAAATTTGTAACGATTTTTTAAGTGATATTTGCGCCAAAATATTTTATATCATACATATTACCCCTGCGTAATCTTTATTTTTTTCTAACTTTATACATAATAATTATGATAATTACTAAATATTTTTGCTTCTTATTACAATTATAAAATATTATTTTTCGACGAAGTTTCGAAGTTTGAAAATACTATAGAAGCACCACATTGATTAAATAACAATACTCAACAATTATAGTAACTTATTATTTATATCGATCTTAAATTATTTGTAGAAAAATTATTTTTTTAAAATATTGGAGATTATGCTAATTTAACACATCGGATACAGACAATACAGTTTATTAATAATGTAATCTGATCATCTTTTATGATTTTTTTGGTCTATATATTATTATTGGATACTTTTGTTAAATTATTATTTAAAAAATAAACTTATCGTTTTATTTGATCGTTTTTATTGTTTAGTTGAATATAGTTGTAGTTGTATAGACATTTTTTTATATTTGTACTTGTAACTTTCAATTTTGTTTACGTTTGTTTAAGATAATAAAAACACCGGTAATTTACCGGTATTCCGATTTTAAAATGAAAAATACCGAAATATCGGTATTGAAATTTTCATCGGTATTGCATTCCCTAATAGCACATATAAAAGTATTGCTATACACATTTATTTATGTGCTGTGCTTCGCATGCTTATATTTTGCATGTGTATGGATATATGAATGTATTCAATTTAATGTAAAACATTCATCTAGTGTTTTTGATTTATAGAAAAAAGCAATTATTTAAATATATTACTTCTGATAATAGTTTAGGTATTAACGTGTAGAATATTTGTGATAATATCCTATGGAACAACCAGTTAACTGTGGCGCACACATCGAACAATGCACACAGTTTTGTGTCGTCCGAATCGAGCTCGGATTGTTTTATTTGTCTCCAGATATATGAGCGTAGGTACATATATTTGTCACATCACAGTTAACTGTTAAATCTTAATACACTAATTTTTTATTTTAGACATTATATTTTTTGTTTTTAAACAATTTCATTAAGAGACAGGCCAAATATCGCTTTTTTACAACGAAAGGGCAATATTCTACTTGTATTTTTATTGTTCGTGCTTCTTTCCTTTAATTATTATTAAGTTTAAAAATTATTGTTCATATAATTTTATATAAATTATACATACTAATGTTATCACATAATAATTTTATACCACTGTTTAAGGTTGATAATATAATTATCCACTCTTTGAATGTTTTTTTGTTAGTTTTCTTGAGAATTATTTAATATGATATTAAAATATATTTTTTAAATCTATTCACTCAAATTTCTATGATTTGTGTACATTATAATTTGATAGCTTAGATTCGATTTATACTCACAAAAGATTTTAAATAATCATTATTATAACATAACCACCCCGTCGTATTTCAAATCATAGTAATTTTGTTGCAGAATTAGAAGATACAGCTAGTATGGCCGATACTATTAGGCACAAAGGCGACAATGACAGGGGATCAGATACTCCTATCGAGGGTCGCAGAAAAATCAGTCAAACGCTTCAAAACAATTACTCAACCGACCAACAGATGGTCAAATGCCGAAATAGTAATTGCAATAAATTGCAGAAACCGCCGATGCTAAAAAGTTGTACAAAAACTGTCACAATTGTAGCTATATGTATTGCTCACGCGAATGTCGCAGAGCTCATTGGGAAAAACATCGAAAATTTTGCCTTCATTCTCGAGTTTCCACACTTTGCCGGCACGTTATTAATTCTGCGAAAGATGATGAAATGTCTTTACGTCACATTTCACTGATGGCAAGACAAGGTTACGAGACTCATGGGCGAGGAGTCGTCAAGCTCACGTTCAAAAGTCCCGAAAGCGCCGAATGTTTTGTTAAAAATGGGTTTCAAAAAATCGGAGATCTCAAGTATATTAAATGGCCAGATTTGGTTCCTGCTGAAATGGGTTCTGAATTATACTCCGAATTACTACGATTGTGCACTGCCTATGAACCCTTAAATAAGCTCGTGCTTTATGTTAGCGTGTGCGTAGTTTCTGAGGCTCCAGGCTCTGGTGCTGTTAAATGGGAAAGGCAGCTTGTATCTAGATGCGCTAAACTGAGGTTGGCGAAAAGCGTAATCAGCGAGACCATTGCCAAAAAAAACAGCGAGGAATCGGCAAACGAACCAGAAAACTATAATATTTACCCCACTTTCCGGTGACGGTGCATCACAAAAATTGCGAGAGTTGTTTGTAGAAAATATACATAGGCACTTGCGAAGAAAAGGAGTTAATCTGCGACGTCACTTTCCAGAAATTCACTCGAAATTGAGTTCTTATGCGGATGTTGGTGGCGATAGATTTGCCCCATTGACCATCCATCCGAAAGATGAGTGTAGCGGCAAAACTTTTATGTGCATCATTATGCCAGTTGTTGACCGCGAGAAATTAAGTGATTTGCCTGTGGATAGAGCTAGAATCAAAATTGTTGATATTAGTTTAAAGCAAGAAAATGAAGCGCCGTCGACTGTGTGAATTTTCATCTGAAACTTACTAAGTGATCCGCATCCTTATTATTAAGCGTATGACTATACTCGTTTTTTCTTCGTACAAAGGTAGGATATGTTGTTTTTTTGCTACATTAATTTATATAAATTGAATAAGTTTTGATATTGCCATTTATGTGAGGCATTATAAGTAAAGACACCAATTGAAAACATATAAAAAATTGATATGATAATATCGTTACATTGAAATTCGTTAGTGAATGCCGTTTTAATCGAAATATATAGAAACTATGTTATATCTTGCAAAACTTATATAGTAGTAAGCAATTTAAAAATATATTGTATTTTATCGTTAACGTTATATTCTAATTACGTTTAGGCAGAGTTTAATCTAGCAAATTTATGCATAGAAAGAAGTAGCGTTTACGCCAAATAATGAATTTATTTTTTGATATGACTATGTGAAATATATAAAAAATAGTAATCTCATATATATACATATTATTCAAAAACGAAGTGCTGTATAGTTAAAAATATCAAAAAATGTAACACCTAGAACATATAGATACTTTTCAGTTTGTGAACCTCACTTGTAAAGGAAAGCCCATGTGTGGGGCGCTTAAATACTAATTATCGATGAAGTCATAAATTTATAATTATCTTCTTGTTATTAAAATGTAATAAACGTTATTTAATAATTACTGTAACAGACACTTATTTTTGAATGCGTAAATATAGTTATGGGTAACAGTTATTATCTGCTACGAAAAGGCATTTTTGTTTGATAAAGGCAGATTTGTTTGATAATTGCTTGTAATTAACTAAAGAGAATATTTCGAATTTAAAATAGTTATTATATATATTTCATCTTAATAAAATATTTCAGTGAATGTTCTTCAAATAACATTATCGATTCATTAATAAATAAATCATTTATATACATTAATAATCATAAAAATTATACTTCTCAATTACTTCATAATTTTCTCTTTTTTTAAATAAAATTCATAATTGTGCATACACTACATTATCATGATCATCAAGATCAAAACAACCTTCAACTAATATAACAACTAGTATGTATTTTTTAACACAATATGTTATTGAAAAATATGGGCATTGAGTTGTTCTGTATAATTATCTGTAGGTATATACACTTTTGAACTTTTACCATCATGAGTCAAAATATTAATGTAATGCCGTAAATGATGTGCCAAACAATGTTTGTAGTTTTTGTACCATGAAATGATTTAATATTTATTTAATTCGATTTGTTTCGGTATGGACCCATAATGAATGCCTTTGGTGTAGTAGAAAATTTTGCAAATAATC